AAAATAGGCAAGAGGATGCCATGATAGCCCTTCCTTCTGTTATTACTCTCAGTCACTGATAGAAACTTGGCACACCGTTTCTAAAGCAACTGCAACAAACTCAATTTTTGTTCCTTTTTAATTTTTTTGTGTGTCTGTGAAGGAGCATAAAAATGCTTTTACCTCAGTGTTGCTCAAAGTTTTGGTTATGATTCAAGCATCTCAAAATATTGAGAATAATTGCAACATCATGTGCTGCCAGCATTTGCAGTACAAAACTCTGCGTCTTTCTCACACTTGATTTAAAAAAGAACATTTTGCACCTCAATAGCTGGTTGTGGTTTTGGATCAAAAAGCACTAAGAGTTTTGATCTGTTCTGATTCCCGCCCCTTCTGTCTCATTTTTCTCATGGTTTAGAACAAAATATTAATGTGACTCATCTGTCATAAGTAATTTTCATATCCTCTACCTTCTATTTTGGTGTGTGATTAGACAAACACTGTAGTTATGTAAAATTATTTGTGTATTTTTCATAAAGGAAGATATGATTCGCAGGTACTTTAAGCAAAAAAGATAATGTCAGGAGAAAAGTGAATTATAAATGAAAGCAACTAATATCTATTATAATTAATAAATACTTTAAAACATGCTATTTTAATTTACTATTTCTTAGTATTAACTACTACATCTGTCATCTCTGGAATTCTGGATAAGGAAATAATAAATGGGAAAGAAATTGAGTTTATGGACTGTCTTATCCAAAGCGAGTCCCAACTTTGATACCAAAACATTTACGAGGACACTAATTATACTTTGAAAGCTGGAATTCAAAATTGCAAATGTCAGTTCCAGGATGTTAATGTTTTCTGGTACAGTTTAGGAAATTTTATGTAATGTGCTACTTTCAAAAGATGCAATTATGTGTACACATTCCTGTAACTTTTGTCCAGATCAGCCTTCTATCCCACAGTAGTATTTTCTCACAAAAAATTCCCTAGAAAACAGAACAACCAATCAGTACAGAAATGATTTTGCTACAGAGGCATTTCCAACAGTTGACCAGATTCTTCTTTTCTCCCTCAAATAGCAGACTGAAATATTTTACTAAGTGGATCCAGTTCAGTGCAAGCCTCATTCCACAAAAGTCGTTTGCATTTGGGCTGAATATTGAATCAGCAGGACTTAAATACCTGCTTAAAATAGAAGTTATATTTCTGTGACTACTTAAATTAACTAGGGAACAGAAACATGCTGTTTCTGAGCTAAGAAAGAGACTACAGTGATTTTGTGATTTTCTGCCTTTCTGCTTTTGTCTGTCCGCACTTGAATTGCAAACAGAAAATGCTGTTTTCCACACTCAGTTAACACCTGCAGTTAGCAGAGTGGAAATAAGACTGCAAGCCATGTCACTATATTCGAAGATTTAGAAGAGAGAAAATAAGTTCTCTCCTCTCCTTTCATATACAATTTTGCACAAAATAATTCTTAAAAGCAGAGCAATGAAATGAAACTCTATCAATCAGGAAATTCAATGCTTAAATGTTCTCTTAGTAATGATTTCTCTCATTCTCCTCTCTCTAATATTCCCTCCCACCCTTCCTTCCCCAAGAAGCCTTCTTGGGAGATATTTTCTCCATAGCAAAAAAAGTACTCTTGCTGCTTCAAGTTGCACAACATCATGGCTTGTACTTGGGATTTCTCCAAACAGTCCTAATGTATATATCAGGATCTGCACGTGACTGAATAACACAGGGAAGACAGCGACTGTATCAGCAGGAAATCTTTCAAGAGATTATTTTTTCAAGTTAAAAGAAATTATCACACCATTAAAGGTTTTCAGTTCTGAAAGTACTGCAATGAACGAATGCACATCAAGCGATTGATCTCAGGACATGAAGAGCTGGGTAATAATAATGTTATTAGATGAATGTTAAAGAAAGCATCACAAAGTGGCCAGGAGTTCCCCTACAAAAAATCAGTGGAAGCCTGTTGAGTGAGCTACTGGAACTGGAATTTATCTTTTTATTTGTTACACTATGTAGCAAAACCAAACTCCCAGCTGAAGGCATCCTTGGAGCAGACAAGGCAGGCAGGGGTAGCAGTGGTGTGGGATGGGGAAAGATAGGAGAGTGAAAGGTGGGGATTGAGTGGCCTCTGTGTGGGGAAGTTAAAGGAGACAGGGCACTTTTTCTGCTCGTGAAGCTGCTTCTCCTTCTTGTGACTCCTTCTTTTCCTTCCTTTCTCTCCTCCTCAGAGGGAGGACATCCAGAGACCTTCACTTTACTTCCATTTTTTCCAACATCACCGTTTACACATTTTTCTGTTCTTTCTTGTCAGTCCTGGTTTGGAGGGACAGGAACTAGGCCAGGACCAGGCCAGAAAGGCAGAGAAATTCTACTGCAGATAAAAGGACAGATGTGACTGCTGCTGCTGTACTTGGGCCTGCTGGTACACACTGGCAATCCTTTACCCTCTCCCTAATCCCACCAAGGCAGTAACAGCGGCATGGATGGTACAAACAGGAGGCAGGAATGGGCTGTTTGGCTGAAATGCCTAATCCCTCTTTCCTCAGTCACAGGCAAAGTAGCTGCCATCCCTTTCAGTCTGGCAGGTCTCCATTTTGCTAAGTGTACAAAGCTACTTCTGACTTGGTGACTTGCCCTCATTCATTCAAGAAGCTGAGCCAAAGCCCCAAACCTAAATACCTGCAAGTTGCAGAGAAGTTTGTATCCCGAGCTGAACTGCAGAGCACAGAAGTGTCTCTAAAAGTTCTGATAGGGTGTAGATGTGTTCTGAATTACTGCCTCATCCTTTGAAGTAGAAGGCCTGTTTGGAAGGATAAACAAGGAAAACCTACCCTTCAGAAAACTAGGAAGCAAATGGCAACAAAGTTCTGCAAAACACATTGGCAGTTTCTGCTCTTCAGGCTTTAGAGTCCTCTGAGAAAGGTGGCAAATACACATTTCCTTGTACAGCTCCAATGAATTGGATGAAATCAATTGTAAATAATCCACAGTACTTGGGCATTATCTCCTAAACTCCACTACAAACTCATCAGGGATCTGCTTGCAAAAAATGGATGGAGTCAGGGGAAAATCAACACAGATTATCTATCAAAGCAAGGGTTGATTGGAGACCAGATTGTTATTGTCAGAAAACTTAGCTTGCTATCATGAAAGTGACTTTTCAAAATAAATTTTACTCCAGAGGCCAGAAAGCTTTGTCATGAATAATCTAATCCATAGTCTAAGATGAAGGTCCTGAAAAGCAGATGGTTTCTTCCTGAAAGGGGCTTGGGCTTTGAGAAGAAGGTGCCTACCTGGCTGCCATGATGCAGGGACCAAGTGGGCATCTGGAGTCACCTGAAGGGAGAAATAGATTCCAGCCAGCAGTCAGAAACTCAGGGACTGGGGGGCAACAATGTACATTGGAGGTACTGGGGCTGCTGTTTGGAGATCTCTTTTTCCGGCAGAAAACACTCCTCTGTCTAGGAGGAATTCAAGCTTCATTTGTTAAAATTCATTGTTTTGAGAATAATTTAACTAGTTCTTTTGTCAGATTTGAGAGACCTTACAATAGCCCTGGTGTGGCATTCAGATGAAACAGGGTAGTGGGCACATTTCAAATGGACTTGAATAAATCTGGGGGTAAAACAGTCAAGCAGGTTTCCCTTGGAAATCAGTATTCCTCCCTTTCCAAATGCTTCCTGCCCCTAAGGCTTGCATGGTCTCTTGGTGGCCAGGCCACCAAGGGCAGAGCTGCCTGGGGCCCACTGGGTGCTGCGGTACAGGGCACTGCTGCAGCACAGCTTTGCAGAGGTTGGAAGCCACTGCTCTTGAATTTGCATTTTGCCCTGGCTGATAAAATGATAAAGGTAAATGGAGAGATACCTTTGGGCATGTTTGGCTCCTTGGGGTTACTCTGACTGCTGGGAAACCAGTGACTCCGGAGAGCAAAAACACAAACAAGGAAGGTTTCAGGCCAAATACCTCAATTTTCAACTACAAAGCAAATCAGCACATAAAGAGCAATCACTCTGCTTATCCATGAGCTGGGTTGCAGGAACTCATGGCTCCCTGTGGGAAGGATGCTGAGCAGCAATGGAGTGTATGGAGAGCAGCTGAGGGCAGGGGCTATGCAGAGAGGTGCAGAACCCTCCCCAGCTCTGATCCAGCACTGCACTTGAGCATGTGCTCACTCCAGCTGGAGCACACTCATCCAGAATTCTCCATCCTCAACTGAACTATAAATGGCCCAATGGCAGCTGAACTCAGCAAATCACAGAGACTCTTCCCAGTTATGCCGGTGGGATTTGTGAAGCACATAGGACTTGGTAGCAGCTGTGTGAGAATGATCAGAATATAAAATAGAAAAGCAGATTTTATTTTATATAGGACACTAGCATTGTCCATGGCTCCCCTTGTCAATATCCTCACATGATAAGTGCAGTAACGCTTGGGACTTTGGTAGTTTCCAATCACAATGCCTCTTGGGAACTAATGATTTTATTTATACATTGCATTAAAGGGTTTGTATGTATATTTTCATGGGCATGACACACATGCAGAAATATAAGATTAGGTGAAAGTTTTTCATCTGTATTTCAGACTGATAATTTTATACCTTGTAATCTGAAAAAGTTATGCAGTGTCTCTGTAGAAGGCTGGGAACATGACTCGAGGCACATTTGAAATCCAAACCCATATTTTGATTTACAGCATAATTATTACAGGATTGCCAACAAAAACACTGAACACTAGGATTTTTGGTTCATATTCAAACTGCTACATCAGTTTTCACAAGCACTGAATAACTAAAAAGGCTACTCAAAGTGAATGAGTTGCCAGGTTTTCATACTTCTGAACAGTAGACCTTGAATAAAAAGCTGGAATAGAGAATTAAAAGACTAGGTTAAGCCACTAGGTTTGAAAATTTTGACTAATGGTTCTCAGTATTTCTGGGAGGTGGAAAAAAGGATATTGTGCTCATACATTTCTTAAAAGCTTTCTTTTCCCCCTAGGACTAACCTAAAATCAACAAAATAACACCAGGCCTAACACAATCAGGAAATCTGTGTCTCTTAGAGTGAAAAGCAACCAATCTGTCCGTCTTCTGCCCTGTCCCAAAACCTCAATGTAAGTATATTCACCTTTGCAATCCTAAGTGAGTTCTATGTAATGCCACAAACAAAGCACAAAGGCTTAAAACTGAAGTTGTCTTAAAGCCATCACCTACACAGGATTTGAGAAGTTATTCAAGTATTTGCTATACACCAAAGCTTTTGAATTTTGAGTGGAAAATTATAAGGTACATAAATTTTGGTCATTACCCTCAGCAGTACTTTTTATTGTAGATAAAGAAATCTACCCTTTCAGTCATTCTCCATTGTTTGATAGGAAAGAACATGTAACTTTGGCATTTTGTGTTTCTGTAAAGAAGATTGGTTAAAATATACTTTTATGGTTGGAAAAGAGTAAGGAGTTTCATTAGAAAAGAAATGTCAAAAAACCATTTTATCCTGGGACTAGAGTGAACCACGCTGTTGATGTGCTTTTGATCCCCAAAATGCATAAGTACATGTGTCCACTTCCAGATGGATGTACATGCTAAAATAAACAGCAGTAACATTCATTGAGAAATCCATAGTTAATACAATGTTTAGTTTAGCTCAATAATGGGAAGAATATGTTAAACATCATTCTGAGCCTTAATGGAAAACTTTCTGACAACGAGACGTTAGCTCATACTGTCCACAGTCATCTTATGCCTATGAGTATTGTTTGTTATCAAGTGTGACTTTTGGAAGAAAAAACGCATTATTGCATAACAAGTTGCATTGCAGTAGTGTCCTGCACTCTGTTTTGGTTTCTAGAAAGCTAATTAATTAAAAGAATCCAAATGGTAAGAATTAATCATGTAAATCCCTCAGACTTTCTGGACATTTTGTAAGGAGGATGAGCGCCACATTCAATAGCGTTTCTCGCTTGTGGAGAAGTCATACGCAATTTGTCTGAGATGGAAAACCAGCAGAATCACAAAAACATGACTCCACAGTGTGGCTCTAGAGCACCACCCCTGGCAAAGACCCCACTCTGGGAACCCACTGGGGTGGGCACTCACTGAGGAGCACTGAACTATGAACCCAGTGGGGTGGACTGGAACGGTGACAGGATTTCAGGATCTCCAGCCACTCCATGGCTGGAGCTGCCTCTGGTAACTGTTTTCACCCAGCATCAGCTGCTGTGACCTACCCTACATCAGGTGCTAGAAAAGTCTAACAAGAAAAAAAAGAAGGAACAAAAAGAGAAAAAAAAATGCTCAAGACTACAGCCCACAGACTACTGACAGAGAATAAAACACTTCTCAGTTAGTATTTACATTCTCCCAGAGCATCCATAAAGTTTTAGAGCCCATCCACTTCAGAAAACATCCATCCAAGAATGGCAGTGGACTTTGATAATTCAGCTGTGAAGTTTCTGTAGCAGTTGATGAAAAGACTGTATAACAACACTGCTCTGTTCATTAGTAATTTCTTGAAACTTTTCAATAAGTATCTTCTGGTGTTACATAATATAGATCATTTTTTTAAAAGTATTGAGTTTTCAGTGTTTTAGAGTCCTTGATTACAACAGGTAAAACAGTAATATAAGCTATTAAATATAGCTGCTAGACAGAAAAAAGCAACAGTTAAGCTAAGCATTACAAATTAGCACCCACTACTTCTCATGAGTGGCAAAATTGCTTTGAGAAAAACACTGTCCTCAGCAATTCAGAGATATCAAGGAACAGAGAATTAAGGGGAAAACAAACTTAAAAAGAGGTTGAAAGTTCTGGAAAATATTGTTATTTCCTTTTTTTCTTTTAATCTGTTCCAATGAATGGGGAAGAATTTCAGCAAAACATTCAGATCTGGATAGAAATATACCTCAAATAAAAAGGAAACAAAGCCCTCTATCTGTATCAAGAATACAGAAAATTTTCAGACTTGAGCATCAACTGGCAGATAGACCTGAAAGGCATTTGGGTCAAATAGAAGTCCTGAGCTGCTACCAAAATCAACAGTCTAATTGTCTAGCTGAAACTGGGGCTTAGCTGTTGGGTTTCCTGTAACTAAATCTTGCCACAAACAGCTCTGCTAAGTTTTTCCTCCAATAATACAATAAAATATAGCAAAATTAAGATAAATACAAGAGACAATGAAGATGAGTATGTAGTTCCCAACATAAGAAGGGGAGCAGACATTAGAGAAAACTCATGAAGATATCAAAAAAGTTCTTGTCAGTTCTAAATGGTTGACATGATAGTTCTTTAAAAATAAACAATCAAACATCTCAAAGTAATTGCTAGACTAAGGGATTTATTTTATTTAAGCAATAAGGTATTTTAAAAATGTACTTAGAATGTCTAGCTTGCTTCAAATTACTTTGGTTTTCTACACAAAGTGTTGTGGTAGTCACTACCCACCCAAAAGTGGTATTTTAATAATATTTTTAAATTGAAAAACAACAATTGAAATGAAGAAAGCAAAACTATTCAGAAAGGTTACCAGAATGCACAGTTTGACTTCAGACATTTTCTAATCTGATCAGGAAGCAGAATGAAAAAAAACTTGTGCCGAATTCAGGGGCACTGAATCAAGTGATAAAGTTATACAATTTTATGTGGATTTACTGAGGTCGTATCTCAAAATCCAAAGCAAACCTAAGCAACTGAAAGTAATGCTTCAGTTTATATAGTCTGATATTTTTTCTGTCTATCCTTTTTCCTGTTGAACTGCCTTTTATGGCTCTCAGTGCATAAACTTCAACATCGGCATCTCCTCTGTCCACAGTTTCCTCCTCATTTTCTCGTGCTTTATGTACCTCCATTCAATCCCTGCTTATCTGATAGTAAGGATTAGTTTACTGGTCTGCCTTTTCTCTGTCTAATTTGGGGAACTGGAAGTACTGGATGCCTTTTAGTGGAACCTAAACCTCAAATTACTCAAGTATTTATGGAAATATTACCTTACATTTCCAGGACCATTTATTTTAAATAGAAGTCAGTTGCTGGACTCCTTCACTCACTCATGAAAACCTAGCTTCAGACTCCTCACAGCAGCTTTGGATGGGAGAAGATGAAAGGAGAATTACAAAAGAAAAATCTTTTCCAAACATAGCAATATTATTCAATAGCTTAGAAATTTACTTTTCCTGTTGGTGAATGTGGTTTCTTTAACTAATCCAAGCATTATTGTGAATAAACCCAATGGTTGCTTTTGTCTGTATTTTGAAGAAAAGGGGCTTGTTTAGGGTTTTAGTAGCAATAATTGACACAAAAAGCTCCAGTACAGAACACATAAAATGAATAGGATGAGCTTGCCTCCAACAAATCATTAGAATTAGGGACGTTGTACAGATACCTCCCGCTTGCTGCTGGTAACCACGATGACAAGTTTATTATCCCAGACTGTGTGGAGCAGAGATCCGAGTAACCTGCTGCTCATTAAATTCTCTGCTTCTGAGCCCCCCTACTCCCCAGACCAACTCATATGAAAAGAACGTGAAGCCAGGAGGCAGCAGATTTTTATACTGATAACAGGAAGTTTGTGGAAGACTGGAATAATATTTCTCTCTGACTTGCGAAACAGTTATATGAAACAATAATTTTTCTTATGGGTTTTGCATTATGCATAAATCCTCCTATTTATATGCTAAAGCATATGGTTTATTAACAGCTAGCTCAATAACAATAACATACAGAGCACACAGCTGTCATCATCACTTTGCAAATGTTTTCCATACATTTTCCATAGCTTTCACATTCAGGGAAAAGTAACACTAAGTGAAAAGTCTTCATTCAAAAGCCTCATTAACATAATGTATCAATGAAATGATTCCTTACGAATTCAGTTTCTTTTGGAAACACCAGTGTATTTTCTATGCAGAAGTCTCTCAGGACATGTCACATTTTAAGACAGTTTTCTAGACCCTAAAGAGTTCAGACACAACCCTATTAATGCCTTTGCCTTGTAGAGTTCAAGAAATGCTACCACAGTGTGAAATGAGATTTGAAATACAGTCAGAATAATCGCCCATCTAATACTAAGAGTTCAGCTAAAACATTCGTTATATAATTCAACCTCATATTTACTTTCAAAGGAGTTTTATGTAGCTGTCTGGTTTATTTAAATAACTGATTAAGGCTGTCCTGTTTTAATTGGCAAAGTTACACAAACAAATATTACAGTTCACAGTAGTCTTCCATTGTTCCATAGGAACAATTTCACAATCACACAATGGTTGAGGTTTAAAGGCACCTCTGGAAGTCACCTTGTCCAACCTCCCTACTCAAGCAGGGACCTAGACTGGTTTTCCAGGACCACGTCGAGAAAGCTTTTGAATTATTTCCAGCAATGAGACTCCACAACCTCCCTGGCAACTAATGCCAGTGTTCAGTCACCCTAACTTTTCTACTCCCTCTACTCCCTCTCATAATTTCTACTTTATACATCTGAAATCTCCCCTTCACTTGTTCTCTGCAACAATCTAGCTAGTCCCTCATTTACAAGGGTGGATGAATGTTGAAAGACAAGGATGAAATCAAGGATACTTTATTTAAGAAGGCAATGCAGTTCTTTATTGAATGTATTTTTGGAACATTATTCAGTAGTGACCTGTGTATTCCTGTGTAAATGGAAGATGGTGTAAATGGAGTCAGCTGTGCAGCAGCAAGGATTCAGGACATAGCTTGGGAATGAGAGCTATGCCAGCTGATGGCAAAGCTAAGACTTTCAAGAGAATATTTCCTTTGGGTGCAAACAGCATATTTCATGCTACTTTGCTTGCATTACAGCTATTTTTAAGCAATCCACAGAATGGAGACTTAAGTATTTTGAACAGTCTGGTATGTGCTCAGGTCACCCCTCCTGTGCAGTGTTTGTGAAGCTGTCCCTTGATAAATGACAAACTGAAAAGGCAAAGAAAAGGCAACAGCATGGAGCCTCTGCTGACAGTGTAAATAGAAATTTGAGTTTAGCAGACAAAGTTCACAGTTTGCAGTGAAAGGTCGTAAGGATTTCAAGCATTTTTGGTATTTTGTCTCTGCTGTCTGCTCAATATCAAGCAAATAAAAAAAACCCTGATAGACAGCTTCC